GGGGTGTACAAAAGGACAATAGGGGGATGGCTCTCCATTGCCATACACAAAGAACAGGAAACTTAAGTCAAGGAGGTACTAATTCAAGGTAAGCTTAACAGGAGAAATGAAACTTAAGTCAGGAAACGAAACCTAAGGCAGGCAGGTAAGCTTTTCAGGAGAAACGAAACTTAAGTCAGGAACCAAATGGATGCAACAATGCTCCAGTGGTATGCCGCCCTAGTCAGTTACAATAAGATCCGTAGAAAGGAATTATCCCCAAATTTCCTTATACTCCTAAGTATGTAGATTCGAAACATCGATAACTGCACGTGGCACATATACTTCTGATCTATATGTCAGAAAAATCAAGCAAAAGTTTGCGTGAAGAGGTCCTGCCATCAATTCACCGATCTAACTCCACCTTTTTTTTTTTGTTTAATAAAGCACAGATTTAGTTAATACTTCCGGTTCTAAACTGACTTTGCGGTGAGTCAAACGTAATGCAATGAGCACAAATCATGCAGGGAACGATTTTTTATTTCGGGGAGCTGCAGCAAAATCTACGCGGGATCCTGGGAGTGATGATATTGGCTTATCTCTAAAATATTCTCTACTTTTTCCATTCCATCTCCCGCGCCACACAAGGCGCTTCAATAAGAACCGGAAGTAGGTAACGCACAGCAATTGATCTAATTTTTTCAATCGCGAGTCATTTAGTTCAATCTGTGCGTTAGAAGCGCTAGACCAGGGGTAGGCAACCTCGGCTCTTTTATGACTCATGGACTTCAACTCCCAGAATTCCTGAGTCAGCATAGCTGACTCAGGAATTCTGGGAGTTGAAGTCCATGAGTCATAAAAGAGCCGAGGTTGCCTACCCCTGCGCTAGACATTCCCCCCTCGCTCTATGGTTTGTCCTAGAGAGGATGTTAGAAGTTCCGATAACTGGACACGTCATATCCGGACGGTCCTGAGATGCCGGTAAGAAAGGATTGTCCCGGGAAAAAGCGAGAGTTTAGGCTCCCTCCCTCCCGTCTTTCCCGGCACGGAGAGAAAGGACGAGAGAACAGCCACGGTGAAGGCTCTCACGGCAGCGCGCCCGTTTCCCGCCTTTTCTTTCGGGGTATCCAGCCTTAGGAAAAGCCGCTCCTTCTTCGCTGGTCTTCGTGTTGTGGTAGAGGCCTCACCGGCCTTGGCCTTGCCGTAAGAGAGCAGACGCGACGAAGGTCATCCTCTCGCCTCCCAGCGCCCGCCGAGTTCATCTTGACCGTACGTACGGGTGATTTGGCCTTTTTTGTGGGCCAGCTGCCGAATTCTCAAGCCGGCCTAGTAACTGACAAGGCCGCCGGCATTTTGCTGGGGATTCGGTGGCGCCTCCTGCTTGGGGATTCCTAACTCCGCCTTTGTAGGAATTGCCTAAGAAGCTGTTTAAACCAAAAGATATCGGGCGTAACTTCCTTTGAAATCCCTGAGGACGGTGACGGTCTGTATAATTTGGTCAGGATATGCATTGCTTTGTGTAAAGAAAAGGTCAGGTTAATTTCCCAAAGAGTTGATCTGATCTGTCAATAGTTGAAGATGAAGATAAGATGAAAGATAAGGCCGTTAATACAAAGGCCACGGATCAGTAAGTTCAAAACAAACTTCATTTCATTTGTGGATAAGGATTAAGGATACAGGCGGAAAGAAGAACTGAATGTGCGGGCTGTAGTACAGTGGTTCTCAACCTGTGGGTCGGGACCCCATTTGGGGTCGATCGACCATTTCACGGGAGTCACCAAGCAAGGCTGTCCGCCATTTTTTTTGTCTGCCATTTTTTTTCCCCTTTTCCGGCGGGTGCCTTACCTCCCTTGGGCTGGGCCAGCTGGTGGTCAGCCTGCTCCGTCTCTGCCACTTGACAGCTACGCCTCAGCCGGCGCAGGGGGCGGAACCACGCATGCGCGGCGCTCCCGGGCAGGGAAAGTCCTTGACTTACGACCGGTTGGGTAGTCCTCGACTTACGACCGGTTTAGTCCTCGACTTACGACCGGTTTAGTCCTCGACTTACGACCGGTTGGGGTCGTGGCATTAAAAAGGTTGAGAACCACTGCTGTAGTATATCATCAGAAATGTCACACTTCAGATTAAAATAGAAAAAATGGTACCCTCCCTTTCCAAACCACCTCTCCAGTTATCATGCTGAAATGAATAAACTTTGTACAGTCGGGATTGGAAGAATAGTTCTGGCATCTGAAATCTCAAAATTATTTAATTCCGAGTATGGGGGAGTTTGCATCTGATTATTTTTTAGATCACAGAGTTTTAGTATTTAATAAAAGTATATCCTGTACCTATTAAATCTGCTCATGATTCTTTTAATAGTTTTCTGCTTCATGAAAAGAAATTGCTGGTGATATTTGTTATTATTAGCAATCAAACTCTGTTCTTACCCAGTTATACAGTTGCAATTTTATTTTGTGGTCCTGGTTTTAATGTCAGATTTGTAGATATTGTATGGTGGTATAATAAGTTGTAATATAGTAAAGGGGTGGGGGGAGAGGGAAACAGTAAAAGTGTGGTCATTACCATGGCACTTATAAGTGATATTTTACTGAGGCCATCTTAGGCATTGTGATATTATTAGCAGCAACATACAGAGAACTTACTGAAGGTGATTGATAGTCCTTGAATGGTTTTAGCATATTTTTAAATAAAACTGTGATGCCATACTGAGAGGCGCTTCTAACTATAAATTGGAAACAAGGGGGAATGAACTTACTTTAGTATCCTAAAAGCTATTTTTTAATGTTTGATTTCCAGGTGTTAGTTTCCAGAAAAACATCTAACCTCTTAAGATGATTATTTTGTAAATTAGATAGGAGCAAGTAAATGTACTCAAAATCCTACAATGAGCCATTGTACATAAAAAAATTATCTCTGTGAGAGAAACTTTATCTGGGTCTTGATTCTAGTTAAAAGTGTACAGTGTAGAAACAGATATAGTTTTATAATAAGAAAACCCTCAGTGCACCTATGCAGCGTATACATGTCTATGCTTTATAATTTATTATAACAATATAATGGAGTACTGTATACCTGTTGTATAATTAGTTAATTTTCCTTCTTTTTTTCAGGTTATATTGAATTTCTCTGTTATCTTCTCTGTTAAGATGACCCTCACTAGCTTGTGAGGCTGGAATATGTGTATAAACACAGATAACTGTTCATGTTGATCTCCTAAACGTATGCCTTACCTAGATCTACTTTGGGAGTTGGAAACTTGAATCGATGTTATCAGATGAGTTAGAGTCTAAACCAGAGGTTAGCACCAGATTTGCATTCCTGGTTATTGTTGTATTCTACATGTTTGTATGGTGTTATACTCCAATTTTACTGAACTATATAAAGTGTCATTTGAAAGTATGTTGTTATAAGAAGTCAGTAGAGTAGCATATTTACTTAGGAATAATCTCCAAAGAATATAATGGGGAAAAACCCTAATTACATTTATGTAGAATTATACATTAGACCTTTATTAGAAAGTTGCTCTTGGTCCAGATGCAAAGTACTTTTCTTTTCATGGGTTATTTTTTTCTATAGAACTTGACTAATGAATTGGTATTTTGGCATATTGTTGCATCAAGAGTTTCAGAAACTGTTAACAGTATGTGCTGGGTCTTGTAGAAAGGAACTTGAAAGTACATACTGTAAAATATATACATACTGGAGATTAAAATGTTCAGTGCTGAAGGCAAGGTGTGGAAACTCTTGTATTATGAATTCTTCCTTAATATAGTATATCTGAGGATAATACTTGGACAAGTTGTACAGAAGAGGTCTGAGGATTGAGTTGTTATTAGTTTTTACAATTACTGCTGAGGGAATTTATAAGAAATAAAGGCAGGTACTTGAATTGTGTTCTGTAGGATTTCTTCCGAAACAACAATAGTAAGCAAACCTTGGTTCAACTTTTTATGTTTTGTCCAATTACATACATTCAATATAACATATTCTATTTGCAGTAAAATTCCTCCTGTATGCTAATGCCCCCTTCTACACAATTGCTATTTGGTATGAATGTCTGTGGCATCATCCCATCCATGCCAAATATCAGCTTAAGGGATGGTTTCTGTTGTTGTGGTTGAGACCAAACTAATTCAGATTCTGATATTTTCTTTCTGTTATGCTGCAAGTATATCTGTGTGTATTCTTGAAGAGCCATTGCTAGTAACCATTAGCATGCTGAATTTGATTCAGTATATTGTTGGTTCTATATTTCTGTGACCTGTACTGCAAGTAGAAAAAAACCCTTCCTTCTTGCTAATGTTTAGTGGGCTTCCCATAGCTGATATTTGTTTTTGTTTTTTAAAATGATATACTGCTTAAGCACATCACATGTAATTTGGGCTGCATTATGAATACAATCACACAAAAACTATTGGGTAAGTCATGTAGATTGCATTGTCCACTACAGCTGTTCATTAAAATTCAAGAGTGGTTCTTACACAATAGAAAAGTAATATTGTTAGTAAGTACAGCCAAAGAACGAGACTTGCAGTATCTACTACTGTTATATAGCTATAGCACACATTGTTTAGTAGAACAGTAAAATTTCAGAATGTTAATAGATAATACTTGCATATGTAGAATTTTCACATTTTTATTATTTGTTGTTTCATCTTTGGTGATATTTGAATGATTAAATGTTATATTTTGTTGTCTTTGAAATAATTATGCAGGTATACTTGATAAAGTATCTTTTGCAATTAAAGTTGATGAATGAGAGAGGTAGTATATAAAAAGCATGTTATTACCTTATTTACTTCTGTCTTAACGCCATTGTTTTGTATTGTTTTTCCAGTTGCTGGTTCAGTTTGTTCAGAACACATCCATCCCACTAGGACAGGAACTTGTGGAATCAGAACCTAAAAATATTACCTGTCTATCTCTTCTTCCCGTTACAGAATCCCCACAATGCAACAGGTTGATATTGCCAGGTAAAAGCTGAAATCTGATGAATTCTAAAAATGTTTTGTATTATGTTTTTGTAAAATTAATGCTGTGTATAATATCACACCTTTGGAGGATGTTCTAGTTTTGAAGAAATCCATTGTGACTAGAATGTTTTGTTGGAATACATTTTTATAATTTGCTGTACAAGTGGAAATTTAGCTTCCTTGAATGGTAATATCTACAAGAAGCTGTTGGAGAGATCATCTGATGGTTTGAGGTCCAGTATGCCAATTATACTTTACTTTCCATCACAAGTCCAGGTTCTGCTGGGGATGCCACTGAAATCCTGCTTCAGCACCTGGAGGCTGCGAGTGTCTGGATGAGAGAGAACAAGTTGAAATTGAAGTCTAGCAAAATGGAGATGCTGTTTGCACAGTGGAGTTTTCTTCTGACCCCAGTGATTATTGATCACTGGCCCATGACTTAGGGATCCTCCTGGATTTGTGACAATTGCTACAGCAGCAGGTGGAGCGTTTTTCGGGGGGGGGGGGTGCACCAGCCCAGCTTTGACTGATGCATCAGTCCTGGCTTTCCTTGGAAAGAGGATCTTGGACTGTAACTCATGCCTTTATTACCTTATGCCTAAACTACTGCAATGGCACTGCCTTTAAGAATCATAGGAAGCTTCAGTTAGAACAGAGTGGAGTAGCCTGGATGCTTATTATCAGTGTCAGTATTGTCAGTATTACCCAGAGACAGCCATAACTCTTGGTGCAATTTAAAATGCTGATAATAACATTTGAAACCCTTATTGCTTGATGCCAGGAGTGCATTGTTTTTCAGGATCTGGCTCAACCATTATAATTTTGTTAGGAGAAGTAGAGAGGGAGGCCAATGCTCCGAAACATTTCTTGCTGATGCTAGTAGTGGCCCTTATAATCTCTTGCATGAAGTTAGATCTCCCCTCTGTTGCCCATGTTTCAAAAATGTTGGGGACCAAATTCTTCTAGAGGGTATTTGATTCATGATGTGTTTTCGTATTGATACAGTATTGTATGTTTTATGTTTTTAATGGCTTGTATCTCAGTATTTTTGCTTTATTGTATCTCTAAGCCTCTGAGAGTCTGTTGAAATTTAGAAATTTGATAAATAATATGCATATGTAATAAGAGAAAATTCTGGCATATTTTAACATAATTAATAGTATGTGTGATCCCAAGGACACTGGCTTTAACATTGATTTTATACTAAATGTACTGACAGCTCCAAATTAGATGTTTTTTAAATTTTCAGATGATTCCCCAAACCATATTCACTCTTCCAAGCATGCTTCTTCATCGGCTGTTCTGCGAAGTCTCCAAGTAAATGTTGGCCCTGATGGTGAGGAGACAAGGGCACAAACAGTACAGAAACCACCTGACCTTCTTCCAAGTCCTGATACTTCTACCTTATTGCAAGATCTTCAGCCTGGTGATAATACTTCCTTTATTCTCCTCAATTTAACACGGACAGGTAATTTCCATCTAGGCGGATCAGTTTTTGCTATTAAGAAACAAGATGATATTTGAGATTCACTGCTTTGAAAAGTATGGTGAAGTTTTTTCACACAAAGCACTAGGGAGTAGTATGTAAGTCTAAGTGCTATTGCTATTGCTGTAACCAGTAATTTCCCACAGAGAAGTGGTAGTTGAAATGTCATACAGTCTTGTGACAAACAAGTAGTTTGGCTTATCTTGTTTATTACTTAAGATAATTTCTTCTCTAGGTCTAGGGTCTTCTTCAGAACACCTGGTATTTGTCCAGGATGGAGCAGTGGATTCTGGGAACAATTTCTTTGCGAATAATAGTACAGACAGCAGTACTCCATGGTTTTTACGAGTGCAGGAACTGGCTCATGATAGTTTGATTGCTGCCACTCGAGCACAGCTCGCTAAGAATGCCAAAGCAAGCAATAATGGTAAGACGTTATTTTTATTACTCCCTTTGCAAAGATACAAACTAAAGCAGTTCAAGATACTTTCCACAGAACAATTACTCGTGTTTATTTTTTTTATTAATATTCCTTTGTAAGATTCTCCTTCTGAAAATAATTTTTATAGCAAATGTTACATTTCTTTAAAAAACTGGAATGTTATTAACTAGAAATATAGAGAAAGCAGTAGGGAGCAGACTTTGTGTTAAGAAATATATCTAATTTTACTGGCTTGCTTCACTCAGTATTTTTTATTTGTAGGCATTGTTGTTTAACTTTAGGATTTTTCTTTCCAGGTGAAAATGTCCATGTTTGTTCAGGAGAATCACAGCCAAAGGAATCCAGCCCCATTCCTCACCTACCCCGGGTAGAAAAAAAATTGCAGTGCACTGTTGAAGGCTGTGATCGAACATTTGTATGGCCCACTCACTTCAAATATCATCTAAAAACCCACAGGTATATGGACTTGCTATCAGGGTTCCATATGTTTTATATATATTAATCCAGCATGTCACTGATTTCTCCTTTAGAACAAATCATTTTAAATTTGGGGAGAGTTGGTCAAAGTAAGAGAGCTAATCTCTATTTTGTAAGCTCATCCAGAGTGTTTTTTTTAAGTATTAGCTTAGGTTTGACAGAACTGGTAGCTGCTTTAATTTTTAATTAATTGGTCTCTCTCTCTCTCTCTCTCTCTCTCTCTCACACACACACACACACACACACACACACACACACACACCAGCCAAACAAGTGGAAAGATGGGCAATTGGTCAAATAATATGTCCTTTATTACAGCAAAACTGTATACATTTCAAGGGATTCTGATCCCCTTCCTCAAAAGGACTAGAAAAGCAACTGAAATAACAGTGTTCAATAGGAAGAACTCCTTTAACATCTTCACTGATTAGAAATTTCTGAGGGCATCTGGATTCTTCCCATTTTCTATAACTTAACATGCAGTGTTTCTCCAGTTTGCTATTTCAGTGAATGCATTCTTCCTAGCTCTTTGGTTTTACTGTCAGCTTGCTGCTTTTTATTACATATTGGGTGTGGGGTTTTTTTTAAAAAAAAATTGCCATTATTTTTCTAGTTGATTGGGGGTTTTTAATATTCCCTTTATATTTTTTTATGGTTTGTCTAGTTTTAGTATGTGTACATTATTTTTGTCTAATTCAATACCTAATATGCATATATAACCTGTGATGATCTTTCATTATGTGTTATTCACTTCATTGATTTTCTTATTTATTTGTTTCATTTTTAAAAATATTGCTCTGCCTTTCTTTTGAGGTACATATATTTGTGTTTCTCCTATGTATTAATCTGTGTTCTATGTGCCCTTTACAGTTATAACTTATTTCATCTATTGTGAATACATTACTTAATTGTTTTTCAGTCTCTTGAGGTATTTCCCTCAAAAAGTATTGGGACTTTTAATATAATAAAATATTCTTTCCTTCTGTCAGAATTTTTTCTTTACTTTCCATTAACTTTGACTATGTTTAACTTAAACTTTTTGATTAAAATATGACATTATGACATTTTAAACAAAAAGTGTCTTTTTAATATTGGTTGTTTTTTATATTAATTCAATGAGAATTATACTGTTTTCCAGGAATGATCGCTCCTACACATGTCCAGCAAAAGATTGTGGGAAAAGCTTTTATGTCTTACAAAGATTGAAGGTGCACATGAGAACACATAATGGGGAGAAACCATTTATTTGCTCTGAACTAGGCTGTGGAAAGCAATTCACAACAGCTGGGAATCTGAAGAATCATCTGCGAATTCACACTGGTATATTATACTTTTCCTTCATGAATATGTTTATGACAACTTTTCATGAGGTGCTATAGAAGTTTGGATATACATTTTCATCAGTAAACATGGTTCTTTTCAGTCCCACAGAAAGTTGAAGTGGGTTTAAAAATAGATTCACAGAAAAAAAAGCTAATAATCAAATTGCAAGATGATCCTGGCAACAAGGGGCTTTGTGACAAATATCTTTAGATGAAATAGACTATGGTGGAGAAAACTTTGCTGGAGAAGGTGGTTTTAAAGATAGAAGGAAAACAGAAGTATTTTGTGGGCAGATATGGAAGATTCACTGGCAAGATTCAAAAGACTTTATTTCTGGTTTTTAAGCAGTCTATGGTATAAAGCAAAATATCCCAATGCAAGAGAGAACCCATTAGTGGTTATTTGAGTGAGAAATAATGTAGATCAGAAGAGATCAGAATGTTTGCAGTGATAAGCTGTAATATGTGAATGGGAGAGTGAATTAATAAGGAGAGGAATTACTGTGAAAATGAGACTTATTTTAAAAACAACCTAGGAATCTTTACTGAGAGCTATGCACTCGGATAAGGGTAATGTGATCATAACATATCTTCCTATGTATACCAAGTGCTTTTTTTGTGCAGGCATTCTGAATTGATTACATGAGTAATTATGGGATTCCATTTAAGAATATACCAAGAATTAAAAATTGAACGTTGTGTATATTGTAAAGATCTGGGTAACAGGAAATACCACAGAAGGTACAAATACTTTAGTAGCAAAATCCGTACAAACTAAATTACTGTTTTCCATTTACATGGTCTTTTAAAAAATGAAACAAATAACCTAATTATAATTTGATAAAACACAGGGGAAAAACCTTTTTTATGTGAGGCCCAGGGCTGTGGTCGTTCCTTTGCTGAATATTCCAGCCTTCGGAAACACCTAGTTGTTCATTCGGGTAAGGACATTTTATTTCTTCAGATGAAATTCACAGAGCAGAGTGTATTTATTGGAGATAGCTGTATAATTTCTAGGTCCTATTACAGGGTCTCTCCTTTTTCTTTTTAATTTCCCTAGCTGATTCATATTATATCTCACTCAGTCTTCAAGCATGTAAAGTCTCATCTAGTCCAGACTGACATTTGGAAGATTAAAGATTACAGATCATATAGATTCCCAATTTCAAATTATGAATATTTTTTTGCAAAATGATGCTTTGAACTTGGCAGCCTTTTTAGAGCTAATACTTTATATTAACTGAATTTTACTGATATCAATCTGATCTATAATAAATATTTAGCTTTCTGTTTTACATGTTTTTCTGCCTTATTTCAGGAGTAAAGCCACATCAATGTCAAATTTGTGGGAAGACATTTTCTCAGAGTGGTAGTAGAAATGTACACATGAAGAAACATCATTCGAGGGTTGAAACAACTAGCAATAGGCAGCATGAGCAAACCGGTAAGGACTAAAATAGAAAAAACTAACATGATTTCCCGAAATATTGGTAAGAGAATGGATCCAAAGAAACTGGTGACAGTTAATCCCTTTGAGCATTTGGCTAGGAAGTTAGGTGAGCTTTGTGGCTTCATGTTTTGGTGGTGCTGCTTTAACCAGGGTATTATGGATTTATACTCTTAACAGTGGTTTTAATTTTTTACGCCATCCAGAGTCACTGTTGTGAGATAAGTGGCTCTGTAAAAAGTATAATTAATTAAAGTAAGTCAGTGGCAGGATAGAGTTCAAAAGCACTGCAAGTTTATTCCATGCAACCTATACACAAGAATCTGATTTACTAACAGTTAAAGCAAATTGGTGCCAGATAAGAGTCAAGGGACTTCAAGTGGAGGGCTGGACCTCGGTCTCTTCCAGGGTGTAGGGACTCCAGATTGATGATACGTTTGACCTCACCTTTTGTCTTAGCCTGGTCATCTCCTATGGTAAATAAATAAGGGATGGGCTGGGCAGGAAGTTGTGGTGTAATTGCCCCTTTAGTACAATTCTCAATCCTAGCCCCAAAGCATTTAGTGATATGTCTAGTTGATTAATACTGCCACCTGAATAAGGTAAACAGAGGTTCTGTCTATCAGTTATAGTTGCAGGTAGTCCTCAATTCATGACCATAGTTGAGCCCAGAGTTGTGATTGTAACTTATGGCGGTTGTTAAACTAGGTGTCCACATAATTGCCTTCTTTAATGACCACAATTCCTGTTTTCCTCTTTGTGGTCATTAAGTGGAGCACAGGCTGCCTTGAGGTGGGGGAGGCCTGGCATAAGCCCAGGCCCACACTACAGTACCTCCCCAGATCTTTCCTCTAAAATTACTAAGCAGAATAATACATTGTACTCTGACCACAATCTTTAGTTAATCTAAATCTGGATATTATTACATTATTTACTCATTCTTTTGGAAAAGTTGATATTATAGCATGTTGTTTCTTCTTACCTTAGGAAATGTTGTATTTGAATACTTGTGTCCTTCTTCCACTTGTGTACCTTCTATCAAAAGCAACTTGGTTCTTGGTTGCTGGGCCTCATTTCTCATACTGGTAGTTCTCGTTTAAGAACCATAATTGGGACTGGAATCTCAGTCATTGAGCAAATTAACATATCATGTGACTACTTTGCTTGACAAACACGATCCTAGAAGTCTACAGTTGGCTCATTAAGTAAATGCATGGAACTAAATTCTTGTGTCCTTGCTTCACTATGCCTGTGGAGCTGCAGGCAGAGACGGGCAGATAAAGCACAGAGAGGCAGAAAGACAATTGTGCACAGTTACGGAGAGACAATGGGCTTTTAACATGTGCTAAAATCTGTGTACAGGCATAGAGAGGTAGGGATCCTTGCTAAAAATGTTGTCTCCTTGCCTTTCATTGATTTTTCTGGCTAAGCTGGCAGAGAAGATTGTAAATGGCAATCAAATGATTGCAGGGTGTTTGGCAATTGGTCATAAGTGAAACGGATCACAATAACCTGATCATGGGGGGGGGAATGCATGCAATTTTTCTCAACAGTCAGAAGTGCTTTACAGGCCTTAAAGCAGAGGTCCCCAACCCCTGGTCCTGGACCAGTAGTGGGCCGCGGCATGTCAGCAACCAGTCCGCACAAACAAGCAAAGCCCCATCTGTGGGATGCAGGTAGCACACAAAATCACACTGTCTCCAGTCTGTGGAAAAACCTTTCTCCATGGAACCGGTCCCTGGTGCCCAAAAGGTTGGGGACCTCTGCCCTAAAGCATCCTTCTGAGGTTGTTACTAATTCAAAGGCTGGTTAAGTGAAGACTACCTATACCCTCTCAGCACTCTACTTCTGAAGCAGCATCATTGGTTTTGAATGTATGTCCAGTCCTGTTTCCTTCTGACATGATTACTTTAATTGGTTTTGTTTGCAGAAGAATGGGTCATTTTGGCACAATATTTCATTAAACATATCAGTAGTCATGAACTGAATGTGTTGATAAAAGTTATTTTTCTGCTGAAATATAGATGCTCTCGAGTTTGGATAAGCTGTTTATCCTTTCCATGGTATATCTTTTTTGATGGCTTAAACAATATTCAACAAATGACATCAGAGTAGTTATGGATTGCAAAAATGGATACATAATTTTAGTGAAAGTAAAATGTATCCAGATAAAGTATTAACATTTTATGGCTTTGAAGTTTAATTTGTGAAAGTGAAGTTTCTGTTGCGCCAAAGTAGTCTTTGAAGAACACTAATCTTATTTAGTTATAGTCTCCTTATGATACTGAACTGTTTGAACTATGCATATGTCAGCATTTACCTGTTGCTATCATCCCCTCACCTTCTATGCTTCAAAGAGAAAATCTTGTCAGGATGAGTACAACACCAATTTTCTGTATTCAGTTTTGTGAATAATAATCCTCTTTTCTGGACTCTAAAATAACATTGCAGACCACAGTAAATTAATCACGCAATGGCTTTTTTTAAAAACAACAACAACAGAATCACTGATGGGCAGCAGTTTGTTGGAAGAATCTGAATTAGACAGTAAGAGCCTGGTGTCAATGAACTCTCCATCTAGCCTTGTTGAATCTTTGCATTTGCCAGATCCGGAATCAATCATTGGTGTAAAAGAAGGTGAGAAAATGTTTCTGTCTAATCTAAAGGAAGCCCTGTATGAAATGAAATCAAAGATGAGAATAGATGGTCTTGTGTTTCTAATGTATAATGTAATTTAATGGAGTACATGGAATACAGGCAAATACAGCACAGAAAAGCTAACCATAAGGCAAGGTGTGGATTTTAAAACTTCCTTGATAATTGCATAGTGATAGTGGAATAATTTAGAGTTGCCAATTTTATTCCATGTCCTTTTGGAAAACTGAAAAGTAAGACGAGAAAAGAACCCTGATTTTCTTACAAATGTAGTCTGTCCCTTGAAAGCAGATGTCTCATCTTAAAGCTGGATGCTTTCTTATTTGGGATGATCATTTCATATTCTGTAGTATTTTACAATCCATAGGACTGAAGTGTGAGTTTGTGAATTCATTTCTTACTTAGTCTGGTTAATGCATTAATGCATTTTATAGATGTGACTTCTGAGTTGGATATAAACTGAGAATACTTGATAGTTCCAAGCACAAGTTGTTGCTGCTTACTTATTCAAATTATTATTAAATTGTAATCTAATTTTCAGAAAGCATAATCGTACATGAAACATTAGCTTTCTTTAGCCTAAAAAAGCTATATGAGGAATATTGAAAAAAGGATTTATCCTTTACCAAAACATGAAAAGCACTATTGGAGTATTTATTGCTGTATATTATGCAGTGGCAACATAACAGTTCCAACACTGATGTCAAGTGGCATCAATGAAATAATTAAATTCAGTCATTATTTCATATGGCTGAAATCCTGGGAGACTTTGGTGTTCTTGCACAAGATTTTACAAGATTTCAGGCAAAAGTGTTGACATATAAGACATGTGGTAGGAGGGATGTTTATTATTCAACAATGACTCCAGCTGGTGAACAGTGATTAAAAATAAAAACAGCTACATATACAAAAGTTAAAATGCAGAGCAGTTGAGAAGAACACTAGACATTTCATATCAGTAGATAGGGCCTAGGGCCTGAGCAAAGAATCAGGTCTTTAGGGCCAGCAGAGTTGGGGTGAACCTAAAGGCCAGCAGAGTTGGGGTGAACCTAATCTCCAGAAGAATGTTCCAGACGGCCTGCGTTATAGCTTCTGAGCCTCACCAGCTGACATTGTATAGCCAACGGAACCTGGAGCATTCCCATCCTGCTGGATCAGACAGGATGGAGAGAAACAACCAGGGGTATGATCAATGCTTTCTCAGTCCCATACCCAGACCTTTATTCCTACTAAAAGGGGTCCAGAAAATCCGTTTCTTCTTGAGTCTTCTGAAGCTGCAGTATGATCACTTTCTCTATAGCCTTCTCTAACAAGGGAAGATTAGACACTGGATGAAAATTTTCCAGACTACTTGGGTTAAGCAGTGGCCCCTTGAGGAGAGAGGCACCACCATCTCAAGAACTAGTACGAAGGAGGAATGAACTATTGCCAAAACCAAATCACATGTCCTCTCCCATGCAGCCTTAATTAGACAGGAAGGACATAAGTAGTTGAACTGATAGCTATGGGAACCTTGTTCACTTCCTCAGGGCTTAACAGGATCAGATTTTTCCTAGATAATCTTGCAAGACTCAGCCCCCCCCCCCCCCAACCTCCAACAGAGAGCAATTTTATCTGGCAGATTTCTGACAGCAACTTCGTATTGAACCTCATAGCTATACCTTCCTAGGAGAGCCTGAGTCACTCAAAACAAAGCTGCTGGAGAGCAATCTGCAGATGTAATAAGGGTCAAGATTTTATATTTTGCAATCCTTACCACCATAAGTTGGCTCAAACAGTGGATCTAATCCATGTTTGTTTGGGTTTGTTCCTTGTCTGCTAGAAGTGTCTCTCCTCCTGCTTCATCTCATTAAGCTCCATAAAGCAGGAGAGTTCTGGGATCCACAGGGGAAGAAAGGCTGCTGAGGTATGATATTCCAAGTCCTAGGAGACCACGAGAGTTTTGATGAAACCATTCAGCAGACCCTTCAGAGCATAGTTCTCTCTGAAATCCATTTGACTCCATTAGTTTCCTAGAACTAACCAGCCCAATAAGTCCATCCTCCCTGTGGTGGGTGGTGATGTCAAAGAATTGCAAACCTACCTGGGAGTCTGTCCATGACAGAAGAAAAGCCAGTGTTTCTCCTAAATTCAGAACACCTTGCCACTGATCCGAAAGAAAAAAAACAGGTCAGGCATATCACTACTGTTACGTGTTGTATATGATGTTGCATAAGAGATCATTGAAATCTTGCAAAACATTGCCTGTATAATAAATTGTTATCGTTGTATAATGATTGTATGTTATTGCTTTTTTTTCCCCCTGGAACTCTCATACATTTTTTTTCTAACTATACTTCACTGCATTAACATGGCACCTGCAGTACCTGTAGATTGAGAATTTTTTTTTTAAGTACCATTTATTTTTCTGCTTGATTTATAGAGGTTCTAGCTGAAGCAGCAGTAAATTCTCTCCATGATGTTTCTGATGTGGTTTTGCCATCTCATCATCTGATGCCCATGTCAACATCAAGGCACTCTTACGGCGTGTCATCCTTACTACAATAAATTCTTAGGTCTGAAGGTTTCTGTTTTAAAAAACGTAGTGCTAGCCTCTTTAATTTCAGAAAATATTTGCTCCTCCTGTGATTGAAGGTAAGAAATTTGCATGTTTTTCTACTCGGGAACCAGACCATTCTAAAGTGCACGTATGCTTCCCACTTTGATCAAAAGAATAACATTAGAAAAAATTCTAATCTCAGTTCCTATGGGACAGGAGAATTCCCTTTTCCACTTCCACCTTTTCTTGATTCAGAAAGCATGAATGCCTACATTTTTCATTTGTGGCAAAGATGACCTCAGCCAGTGATTTCTGTTATTTTTACATTTTCCTTTTTTTAGTATTTTTTTCCTTTTATTTATTTATTTATTTATTTTTTTAAACTTCTATGCCGCCCTTCTCCCCAGAGGGACTCAGGGCGGCTCACAGCATGTTAAAAAAACAACACAAAAAAACATTTCCCCTATAAAACCAATTAAAAAGCAAATATATTAATAGCTGTGTCATATTTAAAATCTTTGAAAATTTTTAAAAATTATTCCCTATTTAAAATTCACCCTAGGTCAGTCCCGCTTG